CTTCTCCATCCCGTGGGGGATGGGGGCGGCCATGATTTCGCGGGACAATGGAGTCCTGTAGTCATCTTCGTCGCTGAGAGCGGGTGGCCGAGGGGGGAACAATCCATTTGGCAGAGGCACCTGGTTTCGGGTCCTCGGCCTCCTGACTGGGGGGTCGATGCGAGGAGGCCCGGTCGGGGCCCCTGCTCTAGCTTGTCGTCTCTAACGAACTTGTCTCGTCGGGGACCTTGTCCGCTCCCGTACTGTTTCGGGTTGGGGCCTCTCCAGCCGAGGTCGTCGATTTTTGGGTTGAGGCGAGGGACTCCTCGAGTTACCGTTTCGTCTTCCTGCGGGGGGGACCTCAACGGGGTATTGCGTTCTAGCGCTCCAATCCGCGTGTTCTGTTGAAATAATAGCTGGTTCGTCTGGTTGATGTTCGCGAAGAGAGCGGCCACCGTTGGGTCCGCTCTAGCCGGGACGGGAACAGGTTGGAACGCTGCTGGGCTTTAGGGCCGGTGGACGACCTGGTGTGTCGATTCTGCGGATGACGGAGATGCAGTCTGGTCGTCTCTCTCGTCGGTCTCCGCTGGGCGTGACGTCTCCGTTTTCTTGTCGCTGTTTGCGGCAGCGTTGAGCATGATGTCGTGTACGGTGTCGTCGCGGTGTAGACTAGCCATGATCGTGGAGTGTTGGTGAAACTTTGGTTCTCTGCTCGGAGTAACGGGGAAGTTTCCGTTCCCACAGACGGCGCCACTGATCTGACCTGATCAGAAGGGGATCACGGGCTGGCCACACTCTGTTGGACTGCTACCTGTTCACCGGTGATGAGGAGGAGAAGAAGGTGTACCTGCAAGACACTCCGATGCCAAAGTAAGGAATTGGGCAAAGTGAGAGCAAAGTACAGGAAAAGGGTAAGAAATGTGTTACCTGACCCTCTCGTGAAAGAGGGTATTTATAGAGAGACCCCAGCGATGGGCCAACGATCACTTGTGTTGGGCTGGATTTCCAGGCCAAACCCAGGTGACTGCTAGGGCTTACGTGGCGTAGTGAAGACCAGAACGTGGTCTTCGCCTTAGTCCAACTGTCCCGCGGTCTCCGGAAGGTGGGTTTGACCTGCTCTTTCGGAGGTGGGCAGTTGGTTAGTGACGTGTCCCTGCGGAGGGGAGCACGTGAAGAACGTGCGCATGGCACGTTGCTCTCCCTGCGGAGGGGAGCTCGCGAGGTCCCCGGAGGTGTGTTGTTCTCCTCGCGGAGGGGAGCACCTGAGGGCGTGGGAGAGACACGTCGTCCTGCTCGTCGGTATGGGGATTCTGCTCGCGGGGGGCTGTTCTGCCCGACGAGGGGAGAACGCCGAGGGCGCCTTGAGGCACGCCGTCCTGCTCGGCGGGAGTATATCGTGCCCGTCGATGGGGTGGTGTGCCCGACTAGCCTAATTAAATCATACTGGACCTTGGCTGCGCATCATTGGGCTGGGCCACGAGGTGAGGCCGGGCCCAGGCCAGAACAAATGTGATGCTTGTGTTGGTTGTTTTTGACATTTATGAGTTTTCATAGTATTCATATATACATCAATACGAAATCAAGAGGCTTAATTTATCATATTGTTCTACGCTGCTTCTGAATTTTGAATATTGCTTATGCAAGTTTTTAATAGTAATCATACCTACAGCATCTTGTGTACTAGTAGGTTTGTTGTAAAATACATAATTGATTTTATCTTTTGTGCCACAGGAAAACAAGTGGGGAAAATAATTCATGCCCTCGACGTTGGATAATTTATGAGCTTCTCTGACTTGGTGTTTTGGTGGTTCTACGCCTGCTTTTGTTATGTGGAAGCCTTACACTTATGATGCTATATACTTGTTTTAATTTGCTTATAATGTCTTCTTATTATAAGTGGCTAAAGAATATTTTTTATTGATACAAATTTAGTTTATTTTTTATATGATATATTATTGATATTTGCATTTTTAGAAGAACATTAGTTTTACTTTTTAGTATATTGAATCACTAAAAACTATATCACTAGTATAAAAAAAACATGAAAGGTATAAGAAAATGTACAGAAATTAAAAAAAAGTTACAGGTATAATGGCGCTTTTTAAGAAAGAGCTATTATAACATAGCATCTAACGTATCGATATTACCAAAAAGCGTTATTATAATATAGTATATAACATAACGTTTGGAGAAAAAAATGTTATTAAATGTTGAAATTAAATTAGACATACTAACATGCTATGTTAGCGCTTATAAAAAAATGCTATTAAAAAAAGTGACTTTAATAGCGCTTTATAAGTGTTGTTATAAGTGGTGAACTTATAATAGTGACAGCTTTAATAGCATTATTAAAGTATAAAAATGCGCTATTAAATAACCTTTTGGTGTAGTGTTCGAGAATTTTGAGATGATCCGTGAGTACAACTAGGGACTGTTTGTTTGGTCTACTTGTACACGAAGTTATCAGATGGCTGTAGGTGGAAAACAAAGCTAGTAACTGGAAACATCACACTCCTAATGGTAATATTTATTGGTCTTTTAATATTTTTGTGTCATTTTTATTTCATTTTTACAACACCATTAATAATGATTCGTGTGTTCCAAACTTTTCAGGCTTGGATCCTCCAGCACCTCGCGCGCATCTCCAACTGGCGAGTGTATTTACTTACACTGAGGATATGTCACGTGCTACTGCATTTGTCCCGCTCAGAGAGAACCACGCGATAGAGTCATTCAGAGTGTATTTGAACCGCTTATTTGTCGAGGACATGCATTTCAAAAACTATGTAGATCACCATGAGACACGACCATTTGACGAGATAGTTTTATACTCGAGATGGTTGGCCTGCAGATCACGTCTCATTGTTCCTCATCTGCTCGAGTGAGTGATGTGAAAATTTGGCTACACTTAGACCATTCGCAGACACCATGATGTCTCTGCTCCTCCTACTTTAACATGTAGATAGATGGATGTCATGTTTGATAATTATGAGAGTCATCTGATATCGGATGAGGCACGAAATACCATATCAGAGGAGGTACATCAGTTCGTTCTTCGGGGTGTCACATATGTATGGTTCATGTTGCTCTAGGAGATCCGTCGAGGTCAGCTCATCAGAAAATACTAAAGAAAGAGTAGACACGGTTAGATCATGCTAAGGATGTCTTTCTTAGATGTTGTTGCAAAAAGGAGATTGTGCAGGCACGCATTGATAGAGATATTTTCCATGTTGGGTCTGATGTGAGGTAGGTCCTAGATGCCATCAAGACGGAGGCACGAGAGACATTGATGTAATAGAGACAGCGCCAGAGACGGGGGAAATTGATGGTCGAGGAGGCAAAAGAGTCATAGGAGATGGAGTCTGACATACACAATAGTGCAGTAGCATATAATAGTTGTACTTTGCATTCATTATGGATTGTATTTTATTTTCACCTCATGCTACATTATCATTGTTTTCAACATTACTTATATATGATATTTTTGGACCATCTGGTTTATATACATTATGTTTTGCTTATCAATTGTATGGTTTAAATTTCATCACATAACATTGTACATTATGCTTATAAATCTTCATATGAATACAAATAAACAAAATATAACGCATACTACTCTGTTCTGATATGTTACAGAGATACATCTTTGAAAAATAAAGGTAAATCTGATAAAATAAACTTGTAAAATGACTTCTGATTGTGATACATGATATGTTTTAAATTGTTACAAAGATGTTTATCTAGTTAATTTAATGTTTCAAGGTACATTAGGAGATGTATCTCCGAAGTTTGAGAGCATTTAAGTATTTTCACATGATGTCTAAATAATACATCGGGTGTATTAAGAAGTCCTCTTTAATTTAAAGATTGAAAATAACGTAGGAAATACTAAATTGGCTCTTTTTTTAGTCAACCAGAGAGTAATTTTGACATGTTTAAAATAGACCCCGGAGACAGCCTTATTTAAAAAATTGAAAAATTGAAAAATAGCCACAGTAATTAGAGGATTGGGCTGAGTTAGAAAATTATTAATTTGAGCTAAATTGAAAAATTGCATTCGAACTTACTCTACTTATTTTGTCGATATTGCATATATCAAATAAATTACAGAAGTGCACAATAACACAGTTCAATTGTGACACAGAAAGGCTAGCAATACCAAGAGAATGAAGGTTGAAACACACTCTTAGAGTGAACGGTATTTGCACTTTTTTATGCTTCAATTCATTTAATTTCACCCTCAGACTGCATTAAACACAAAAAAACGAAGAAATAGAACTCCCCGCTGGTATAAAAAAAAAACATTACTATTCATTTTTTCCCTAGATTGTACAATTTTTTCAAATATACCCAAGTGAGTCCAATTTCATAAAATATAACCAATTCAACGCAACTAAAGGCTACAAGAGCATTGAGCACATATTATGAACTTATAGATGCTGTGTCTATTGGTGAGTATGAGGATGTCCCATTATTTAGTTATAAAAATATATCAGATTAACACTAGTATTAACTTATGTATATGACTACTCAACTGTGTCTGTGAACTTATAGACGTTGTTGTGCCTCTTGATAAACTTGAAGATGCCATATTCCATTGTTTTAAATATATATTAGTTTACTATTCTATGTATGTGTGAGTGTGCACAAGTATCATAAGTTTAACCCACATTTAACTGTGGTTAATTAAATAAATTGTAAACTACTACAGTATTTATTTTAACAGTTTAATGACATATTCAATGTTATAAATACTGAATAAAAATTCAACTTGATTCTAATTTTGAACAACTTGGCCAGGCCTTTCTAGTGTAAAAAAATGAAGTACTACACTATCCACTAATGCATGAGGCACACTGCTTCAGCAAACAAGAAACAAAGTGAAGCAAGTCTTGGTAACCTAAACAATCAAGCAAACTCAAAAAACAACAAAACTCGTGATAGAAAGGCGAAAACAATTAAGATTCCTTCTCCTAAATTCACAGTAACTCATAACAACAGAACCTATTTGATGCACCGATTTAGTTACTGTCTGAGTGAGGCTTCCTCGCCAAAAAGAAGTACATTGGTGTGAAAATCTCTCTCCTGCAAAGGTAACACAAAGCCCCTCGTGTTAGTGAACACACGGCTCAGAAAATTTTAGTATTTAGATAATGATTTTAGGTAATTTATAAAATTTAAAGATGGGCAATGTCAGTGTAAACCAAGTTTAATTCATGAGAAACTTACTTTCCACCTTCAACTAGGCCGTCTGCAGCCTTCTCTAGGAAATCCTGAACCCTTTGACTCCCCCTTGGAGCAAGTCCAACAAACTCCAGAACCTTGACCTACAAATGTATAGACTCTTCAATTAAAAGAAGCGAATTCGAAAATTCTCAGCAATGTGCTTCCAAAATTCAAAAATAGAAATGCCGGCAATACAGTCTACGCCCAATTTCCTACACTTTACTCTTTGGTTGAATTTCACTTAGATCAAGAATGTTGAAAAATGTGTTGGCAACAATTCTTAAAAGAGAAATAACTGATTACACCATTGTGCCACTTTCTCAGCTTAGTTTCTAAAAATATATCATGAAATATCTACATGGTGTAATTTAATCGGATGCATGGGTAAACAAGTTTTGCATAGTAGATGTATATAAATTAAATTCAAAATAAATATGTTCCAAAAGCAATACCATATTTTTGGTGAAAAGTCGTCCGACAGCCGTGAGACGGAAGCTGCTAAGTGAGAAGTAACTCTTGTCTAGAGGCACGTACCAAGCAACAGGAGAGTCCACTGCTAGATCTTTCTCCCATATGACCTTCACATAAAAAATAAAAAAATAAAAAAATAAAAAAAGAATCTCATTTAGTCAATTAGGCTCATCTCTTGTATAATGCTCATTCCGGTATCGTATATCAACAAAAGAGTACTTATATTTAGTGGTTTTAACTAAATTTCTACATATGTGAAGTTTATTATTTTTGCTTAAAATCAAGATCAAAGAAAGTACAGGTGAAAGGTGATAACTCATAAGAAACTGATGTTCACCTCAAAACCAGCTTGCTTAAGAGCTTCAAGACACTTGGTGGTCAATCTAATGTCAGGAAGCCCGTCACCAATCTCAATTTCGGCCTGTAGTAAGGAATTGTCTTTTAAGTATAAATAAACATAATCAACCGATAACCTGAAAGTTTTTTCTATAAATTACTGATATCATACCTTGATTTTTTGGTGTTCTTGGTTATTGGGATCAAAAGAATCAGTCATGCACCATTCATATGCAGCAAAACATTGGCCAGGCTTTAACACTCTATAAATCTCTTTGTAGCATCCATACTAGGCATAATACAAAAAATTCAGTGTCAAACAATACAAATTATAGACATCAATTTTGTAGATTCCCTATAAAAAAATTTGTTCGTGTCAAGTTTGTAAACCATGGATGCATTTGCACCGCAATCTTTAATGTTGCTATCAAATACAACTAGATAATTACAGTCGAAAAGACACCAAAATAATTGGATGCATTGAAGGTTGGTCCAAAATAATTCAAAACTTATGAATGGATCTGCAGATTGCATTCTATACCATATATGGAAAACAGAAGCAAGGATGTGAAACTAGATAGAGTGAGAAATGATGTCACATACAGCATCTGGTGCATGGCAGGTGGCTTCTATAGCATACACTGCATCGAAACTGTTGTCTTCGAATGGCATCTTCATGAAGTCGGCCTGCACATTTGATAACCACGTGAATGAGTATCATTTAGTTGAAGCTATGAGATTTGTTTATGTTCAATTTGAAATATTGTTTTAGTCAAAAGTGCTCTCATGAGCATTTCAATTATAAGCTTTTCTCTGGAAAAAAAATAAGCACATTCAAACACAGTAAATAAAATATCCGTATAACATTTATAACTGGAGTAGGAAAACATCTCAAAAATATTGGATGTTCCATTCCTATAAACAAAAATCAATGATTAACAAAAGATCAACCTTGACGAAGTTGCAAGTCTTGTCCACTCCAGTTCTGCGATTGAGTTCCTAATAATCAGCGAAAAGTGGACAGTGAGATCAAAGTATTTTAGAAATTTTATAGTTAAGAACTATAACATTTTTATATAATATGGAAAATAAATGAATAATCTCTTTGACAAAAAGGCTAGAAAGAGCTTCCCAAATAATTACTAAACTGGAAATTACGCATCATGGACTCTATGAATGTATTAAACTTATGCTAGAGAACTATAAAAAGCTTATTATTTGCATGCTTAAACAATGCATCAAGGCTATGTGATGAAAATGAAACAACATTAGAAACAGTGACAGTGCTGGCACCAATAAAGGCTAAAATAGTTGCCTCCGTGCTTACAATTGAAACCTCAAAATTATTGTGTCAATGCATTAAATCCCATAAGACGTACCTTTCCCCTGGTGATCTGGTATTCATTGTTATTCAACCCTGTAACAGATGCCGAGCTGCAGAAATACCCCTTAATTATTTTTGTTAGCAAATAGCAAGTAAAGGTAAAACAGGGAAGGGCATATGACGAAGAAGCATGGAGGATGGTTCCAAATTCCTAGTAGTCAAAGAATCACACAGTCCAAGTTGGTGAATCAAGTCTAAAATGCAAAAGTGGAACGTGAATCATCCTGTCTTTATAGTTGACAGGACAATCAAGTTTGAGTGTTTAAATACATTACTATTGTCAACCGCAGATTGCAGAAAACAATGGTCTGTTCAAATTCTGCAACATTGTAGTGTTATAGCTGCCATTTGACAACACCTTTGTATTAAATAGTGTATCGCTGCACAATAGTGATTTGTTCAAACACCGCTAAGGTGTAGCATTGTAGCACGTCTATTTGACTACACTGGAATGCAGAGAATCTGAATCTATAAAAGATGGATGTCCAATTTACCTGAATCGAGAAATTTCTCTTAACGGTCCCCCAATACCACACCCAACATCCAAAACCTAAAACAAATAAAGAAAAAGACTCGTGAAGTATTAAGAAAGAACATAATATAAATAACGAATATAGGCCTTTTTTATTTTGCTTTATTGATTATGAAAGATTGAAAACCTTTTGTCCGGGCTTAAGACCAAGTTGTAAAGCAAGAAAGTGTTCATGTCGCTTGATGCTCTCTCTAAGAGATTCCCCTACCCATCTACATGGGATGAAAATTTTCAACGTGATCAAATTAACAACAAAGTCTTCAAATTTTAAGTGTGCAAAAATGAGGCAGAGTGGCACCTTTGTGCAAAATGGAAAGATTCTCCCCAGCCGAACTCATAAAAGCTGGTCACAAGATCATAGTATTTATTAACCTGAAAATATATGCAGATCTTATTATACTCCCTTTGCAGATAATCAAACTGAATATAACAAAGACTTAAATATGATATTAACATCTAAACAAAATCATGTTATACAATATTACAAAAAGGAAGATAGATATGAAGAGTGTATATGTATTCCTTAATCATTAAAGCTGCAGTCGATAGATCTCAGTTGTTAGATGAAGATCAAATTGTTCATATTATGAAAAATATATTATAAATTTGATTCTGAAATCAGAATATAAATCGTCTGATTTTCATCTAACGACCAAGATATGATCACTGATGCAACTACCTGATTTTTCAACCGTACCAGATCCAAATCTGACAAATCTGACAAGGTTAGTGCTGCTCACACTATCATTTTTTAATAATAGTGCTACACGCATTATCAGTAGTATAAAGAAAAAATAATAAAACTATGACTTTGGTTGCTAAAATATTGATATCTCTCACCATATCACTATAATTAGCCTTCCTTTCTTCCTCTTGACCTCCATAGTGTACATGATACTTCTCATACCTGAACCAAATGTTCAATATATTTTATTATGCTCTTCAAAAGAAGTTAAAAACCATCATTCAACCAATTTTTTTTTCAAAATTTTTAACCTCAAGCAACATCGTGAAAATTTTGAAATTACAGAATCAGTTCAGATTACTTAAGGTAAAACTCCCAGTTAATTCAACTTTTGACCTCACACGTTCATGTAATTGTATAATATCATTATATCTATCTTAATGGAATAATTCACATTACAATTAAACAAAATAAGTTCAAATTAAGCAAATCTAAACGTGGACCCGTCCGATTAAGATCGAACGGTTTACATCCAAACCGCATGAATGCCTAAGTTTATAAGTCTCATCTCCAGCAAATTCTAGGCTGTCATTTACAACTGTCACTCAGAAAGGAATATACTGTTAAGGTATCAGAAGCAAAATCCAAAAATGGGACTACTTCGGCAGTTTCAATAATGCATGCATTGACCAATATGACAGATTCTCCTCAATCAGAATCTTCCCATGCCGGTTGACAGACTTGAACTCCAATAGTATTTTTAAATAAAATTATCATTTTCATATATAAAATAAAACAACTTGGTTCCACTGATATAATTTTAAATTTAGTAAAAAAATTAAATAATTAATTGTTCAAAAAAAATATAGTAATAATTAATCACCAAAGTTCATAGTTATCCAAATTTCTCCATCAAAATTTACAGCAAAGTTATCAGATCCAAATCCAAAACCAGAGGATTCAGTTCACTTTTCCATCAATTTTTACAGAAAAGTTATCAGCACTTTTATATATTAGCAAATTCATGTCCGCGTACGTTTGGTTTTGCGGTGAAAAAAATTGATTTTGAGTGAATTGATTTTGGTTAAAAGTGAGTTGAATGTAAAGTGATTTGTCTTGAATAACTTTGTCTAAAATTGAGTGCATGTTTGGTTTCATGTTTGAAGCACCAAGAATTGATTATGGAAGTGTATAATTATGGATCGTATAATGGATTACGACATGTTTGGTTGCTCTCAAGTAGAATTGATTTTGCTTTCCAGAATTGATTTTACTTGAAGCTATGATTTGTAGTTTTTGAGTTTAAACGTGATTTTTATACTGAAATTTACTGTTCAACTCACTTTGCAAAAATTTATCCAACCATAAATTACTTTACCTTCATCTCACTTTTAACCAGAATCAATTTTATATAATCAACTCACTAAGAATCAATTTTTTTCACCACAAAATCAATCAAACTCAGAGTTGCACACTAAATTTCAATACAAAAACCACATATAAACTCAAAAACTACACATTTTAACTTCAAGTAGAATCAATTCTAAAGACGGAATCAATTCTATGTTTGAAGAACCAAACTCCACAAAATCATTCTAAAATTATTTCTACACCTCTAGAATTGCTTTTCGGATCTTCTAAAAGCTAAACAAAAATGTTAAAACCAATTGTTCAATACATTTACACCAGATCCCAGCACCACATGATTCTTCAATATTTTCTGAACGAAGCTAGCATTTTCATAACAAAAAATGCAAACATTTTTCACTATTAAATAACAAAACCACATCATATAACCAAAAATTTACGCAAACACGTTAAACAGAACCTAATTCGAGCTGAGAAAAACGAATACTCATATAAACCTTATTTGAATCGGTATAATATAACAAAGAGCGAAAACCAAAGTCGAAAATCAAAATGCGAGCGTAATCAAAAGAGAATGAGAGAGAGAAACGAACTTATCGACGGCGGAGAGAACTTCAGCCTTTTCAATCTTTCCACCGAGATTCGACGCCAAATCCATTTGTCGAAAGCGCTTTTATCGCAGAACTGAAAAACGACCTCGTTTCGATCTATAAATCACACAGAAAGTTTGTTACGTCAGATATATATAACAGAAAGTGAAATACTAGTTGAGAATATCGAAATAAAACAAAGTGTGATAAGGACTCACGAGAGAGAGAGAGAGAGAGAGAGAGAGAGAGAGAGAGAGAGAGAGAGAGAGAGAGAGAGAGAGAGAGAGAGAGAGAGTTCTGAAGCGTTTTTAAAAGTTAGGGAGAGGCAAAAGAAAAAGAAGGGAAGGGGACAAAGATATGGAGTGTCATGTGAATGGGATGGGGACGGAAAGTGCGTCGCGAGGCGGCCATGTTGAGTTGAGTTGGCATTGGAAAATCAGTTTATTTTATTGTTAATTAATTGATTACAATTGTAAATTCAATTGTTTTGGGAAAAGGATTCTCTGCGGTTGAGGAATTGTGAAATCAGGAATTGTCTGGGTTGTAGATTACTATTTTAATATGGATCGAAGGGTACAGATTTAACGTTTATGAATACATTTAATTTAAAGTGGATCATGGCTGAAATTCATATGTCATTTATTAGTATTACTTGACCGAAAAGAATCTATTTACATTGTTTTGAAACTAAAAACAACAATCCTTTAATCTTAGATTATAAATCATACTTGTGTATTTTAATACAGGAAACTAGGGGTGTACGCGGGTTGGGTTGGACCGGGTTCGTCTTAACCCGTTACCCAACCCATTCAACTTTCAATGGGTTGGGTTTATCATCAAACCCGTAATTCTACTTTAAAAACCGACCCGAATCAACCCGGATATTTACGGGTTGGGTAGGGTTGGGTCCACGGGTTGTGTATATAATAATTATTATTTTCAATTTAAAAAATCTATAACACAATTCAATATAATTTTGCATATTTCAAACAATTAAATTATTTACGTAGTGGAGACAAATCCTACATATAAAATAGAATAATTAAAAATATAACAATTAAAATTTTGAAATGTATTTTCTTTGTCATAAAAAATATTAAGATACATATACACCATTAATTATTTATATATTTTCATTAATATACCTTAATTTATAAAAATTTATTAGTTATTTTGATACTCAAATGTTATCCATTACAAATATATATCAACATATGTAAAACAAATATATAATAATATACAGTATATATTAGTTGTTTTGATACTCAAATGTTACCTTTTCTAGCACATGCTTAAAAGTAGGTCCGTAAACTATCATATATATATTAACACTTAATAATATATAAAATTCCATAAAATATCATTTCCATAAAATTCATAAATTCTAAATAATTCAAAAGCAAATAAACATCACTTAGTCTTAAAATAACATAGATGTATTGGTCTAATATTGGTCTAATAGCACCAAAATCTAACAGCAACTATAAAAGATTCCAGCACCAGCAGTGAAAGGTTTAACAATAACAGAAAATCCAGCAACAGTAGCTGTAAAAGATTCCAGCAACAACAATGAAACGTTTAGCAACAACATAAAATCCAGCAACAACAGTTAAAAGTTTAAGCAACAATAGTCAAAAGAAGAAGAAAAAAAACAACACTAGAAAATACCTTAAAATCTAGTAGTAACAGTTGTATTGAGCTCAACCGCAGTAATGCCAACATCAATAGAAACTAATCCAGCTAACTCTATATATATATGTAAACACAAACAACTAATAAGAATAATGTAATGTAATACTAAAATAAAATAGATTTTAAAATTCAAACATATAATTCATACCTGACTCAACCTTTTCCAATTCAACCAACTCTTTTTCTAAATCAATGACCTTAGGAGATTTGATCCAATTTTGAGTACAAATCAAAGCTTCAACGGTAGAGGGATTCAAGGAACTACGAAATGAATCAAGGACACGACCTCCTGTACTAAAAGCGGATTCAGAAGATACAGTGGATACAGGGATAGCCAATATATCTCTAGCTATGCGGGAAAGCATCATATGAAACAAAATAGTACATTACATTGAACCTATCATCATATTTTGCATTGATATAAAACTATTGAAGTACATACTGTAAAAACAATATATTGCATTGAAATAAATATATTGTAGAACTATAAAAAGTATAAAACCTTACTCAATATGGAGACGAAACTATGAGAGAGTCAAAGTATAGACTATGGATTTTCGAAAGCAAGATGGAATTGGAATGTGAGAGAGTAAAATGAAAAAAAAAATCGTGAGAGAAAGAGGAGTGACGACGTTTGAGATTTGTCGTAGTAAAAAAATAGGGTTAGGTTAAGTGGTATTGTCTTTAGTTTTAGTAAGTTTCTAATATATACTTAATTATTATTAGTTAATAAAGATTCATTAAAAAAATAAAAAGGCAGTAAAGTGTAAACTAGAAGTGCATAAGTCAAGCAAGCATGATTAATATTAATAATAATGTTTAATTATAATAATAATAATAATTTAATGTGTGATTGAAAACTGGAAAGAAAGTGCAAAAGATCTTGTGTACGTTACAATTTACAAAGTTATAGCAACTTTAAAATTTATAAATAATAATATAATAATAATAATAATTAATTATGCCACGTCAACGGGTTGGGTCAACGGGTTCATGGGTTTAGAAACTAAAACCCAATACCCGAACCAAATTTATACGGGTTGTTACGGGTTGGGTCGGATATACCCGTAAATGAATAGGTCCGGGTAATTAGTGGGTTGGTTCGGTTTGGGTAGGCGGGTTTGCGGGTCGACCCGCACCCATGAACACCCCTACAGGAAACAACAATTCTTTAATTCTGTTACAAAGGTTATATATGTGTATAGAACAACTGCACTTTTTTTAAATTATTTTGTAAAATATTTTAAATTTTATAAATTGATTAAAAGAATTAATAATTTTATATGATTTAAAAAAAATCTTTGACATTACTAGTAAATAATTTCAATTTTACTTGAAAAAGATTATAAAATTCTATTATATATATATATATATATATATATATATATATATATATATATATATATATATATATATATATATATATATATATATATATATATATATATATATATATATATATATATATATATATATATATATATATATATATATATATATATATATATATATATATATATATATATATATATATGTTAGATAAACAAAATAAAAGTATGAATGTATAATATGTAAACAACAAAACTATCTTGTAAAAATTATATTTAACTTGATAAAAAAATAAAATTAATATTCATATTTTTAAAATTATACTAACTATTTTATTTTTAATATTTTCAATTTATTAGGATTTAATTTTTTTATATCGTATTAAGTTACCAAATTATCCTTAGTCATACATATTTTTAAAAAATTATTTATCGATATTTTTTAATTTAATATTAAATTAATATTTGTTTATATTTTATCATATTTAATTTTTTATTTTAAATTATATTTTATAGACGTAAATTTTAAATAATTTTCTTATCCTCGGATTCTAACCCAACTCGTATTCAATATAAAATTTAAATTAATGAAATAAAATGAGATAAATTTAAGAATTAACTTATCATATCTTATTTATGTTATCAAACATTAGATTGAGATAGAATATGATATTAATATTCTATCCTATCTCTTATCTTACACACCAAACATACCCAATCATACTTGTGTACTTGCTTATGCTGTAATATAAATTATTTTAGTTAAAGATAAAGTAATTTTAGTTTAACAATATATTTGAATATAAAAAAATTAAATTTAGTACAAAAGAAATTTATTTTTCATCTTTATAAATTATCCATTAAATAAGTTTACATGTTAAAAAAAATAGATATGTTATTCTTGCATCATTCCTTACACATACACCATATTCACTGTTCACAAATACGATGAATATTTCTTATGCGTAATAAAAGTTAATATTAAATATTTTTGTGATCCTCTTTAAATATGTTAAATTTTGTATTTAGTTTTTTATGATATGTTTTTTTAGAAATTATTCTTCTAACATTTTTCATTCACATTTTTTATTCCTAATACTAAAATAATTATTAAAATTGTCGTTAATTCAATCATTAAATAATAATTCATCGTTAATTTAATTACTAAGTTGTAAAAATTATCACTAAATTACAAGAGAAATTAAAAGTATAAATGTAAAATTTTAGGAGAAACATTTTTAAAAAAATATATATTTTAAAAGATTAAAAATAAAATTTTAAATATTTAAAAGCACCACAAAAATATTTAGTTAAAGATAAAGTAATTTTAGTTGAACAACAAATTTAAATATAAAAAAAATTAATTTTAGTATAAAAGAATTTTCATTGTCCATCTTAAAAATTATCCATTAAATAAATTTACATTTTAAAAAACATCAGTATGATGCAACGCGATTGTCAAAGCCTTAGGATAAGTTATCAAAGCCAACATCTAAGACCTTCGTTTTTACTTCGTTAAACTTCAATTGATTTTATAACAAACTAAAATTAATAATTTTTAAAATTATTTTTCATAAAAGTTAAATAATAAAGAAATTGAGGCATACATTTAGAATGTGTAGTGGAATAATTAAGAAAGACATTGAGGCGATGGCAAGAGGCATACATTTTATCATTTTCGAGTCGTCCCTGTATTAGTTTGACCGGCTCTTGTCTGAATTTATCGATCGACTTTCCATTTCTTTGTCCATAACATGTGATCATGGATGGAGCGTGTACCAGGTCAACAGTCGGCACCTAGAAAGTTTTAGGACTTAACTGCATCTCTTGAATTTATGGGTATTAATCACCATTCCTATTAAAGTTGTTATATTCTAAGGAGACTTTGACTCACTCATTTTAAGACCCCTTGGGAGTTATAAATGCATCAACACCATGATACTGAAAGGGAATTCAATCTCTAACACAAAGAAACCACTTATATGTAGCTTCTCATTTCATCTTGTGGGCTAACCTTACTCCTCAACAAACCCTAAAGTCTTCGATAG